GTGATAGAKTACCATCACCCAAAACATTAATATCACGGAACGTTTCTCGAGCGGATTTGGCTTTAACGAAGGAAAACTTTAAAATAGCGCGAATTTCGGCGTTAGTGAGCTCCATGTTTACACGTCTATAACTCTTGAACGCAATATCTAAACTAATCATGCATAGGGTCGTTTTGTAGGCTATGTCAAGAAGAATGCAAGAATATAACGACTGCAGTGAAAGCGTGGAACGTACACAACGTACACCGTACTGTACAACAGTGATGTTTTGTCACTGATGCAGCCACCTAGTGTGATTCTTCAGAATGAATTAATCGACCTTTCGAAAGCATCAAACGTCATAACAACACGGATTACACAAAGGATGATGCTGATCATCACTTTAATGAAATTTTTTCAAAAAGTTAAAAAAGGTAGATGTTGAAGTCGAAAAACTCAGAACATGTCGGAATGCTATAAAAAATGAATGATCGTAATCAAGTTCTTGTACGAAAAAACTTTTTCATTTCACGAGCAGAAATTGTTCAGGTCGGATCTCTATAGCATACAGTTGCCATGCAAAGTAACAGATTGTGAATTATTTATTTCTATATTTTCATATGTTTATAAATATAAAAAATTTAATATATGTGTATGCAAACATAAATTGTATGTTAAATAAAGTCGAAATTGGGAATTATAAATCATATCTGTGTARTTCACAATGTATCGCAAACAACTATCACTACACTGTACCCGAGTCCCTACAACGATTACTGTTTTCACACTAAAATTGTCAAACCATTAGTAAGAGCAGCGCACATACATTTCAATTTAAAAATTAAAACTTTTACTAAAACTAGCTTGCCACATTTCCATTATTCGCTTAAAATTTATTTTTTAATGTAAAAGTTATGTGCTTTTTTAATCCCATTGAAATTTATCGATATRAAATGTACTAAATGGAAAGTAATTAAAAAACATTAGATTCACTGCTGTTGTTGCTGCGGTTAGTGTAGCTATATGGCAGCATAGCAGTATCGCTGCTATCTTTCGCACTTACTACAGTACGCACACGCATATACAAACCGTACATAAAATATATATATRCACAGTAAAGTATGTATATAGGTACGTAGGAACTACAGCAAACTGYTGTCATTACGAGCCAGCGATGGCAGAGATAGCTGAGCGCCGAGCGTATGCCACCAACAACAACATCATAGCGATGGCAGTGTTGCGTTGTATTTATAGTGCAACACCGCCGCATATTGACAATTTCCTTCCTGCAGCCATAGCTGTGGCAGCCAATTATTTTTGTCCCAGTTTCGAAAATTATAAATTTCTTCATTAATTTTTAATTATGAACGAAATGAAAGTATGAAACTTTTTCACGTTTACGTTGTTGGCACAGYGCATGGAAGTGAGCTGCTAAGGAGCAGCGTGCCGTTATTCGCAGTGCGTTCATGTAATGCTTGGTAAGACGCCGGAGAGTCGGTGTTTGAACCAAAATTTAAAATTATTTTTTATTTTTTTTATGTGACTTTTGGTGTGACTCTAACGAAGCGTCGTTTTAATGGAAGATTTTCGTTGGTTAAAAGGTATTAGGATTTTCGATGTTTAATATCAAATATTAACAACAAAAATATTGTCAAAAGGATTAGGAATTATAGCGAGGGTGTTTGATCACGTTAACGATTCTCTTAGGCACTGCAATCATTGAGGCATTTGTTGAATGCATGGCTGAGATTCTTCTTCCATTGTCAATTTTGGCTTGAGGTAATTGGAAGGACTTTTACGATTCTACCCGATTTCGAATGGGTGAGAACTTTTATACGAAATTCGTTTCAAGKCATAAACACTTTTGAAAATTTGGCATTATTGACCTCGGCCACATCGACAATATAGCTTCATATCTTACGACGCGTGATCCAAATAGAGGTACCTTTATCAATAGCCTATTTTTGATAGCGAAGAAAATAWCTCAGAAAGTAACTCGGACTGACGTATGGAACGACATGTCGCATTTTTCGTCGAGATCTTAATTTGAAAGCATACAAAATACAGCTTGTACAAGAACTAAGGCCGCTCTASCTTTCCAAACTGCATCGCTTCGCTTTATGGGCCGTTAAAAAGTTTAAAGAAGATYCGGCATTTTTGAGCCAAATTTTGTTCACTATGAAGCCCATTTCTGGCTCAATGGGTATGTAAACAAGCAAAACAGCCGCATTTGCTTCGGAGGGCAACCTGAAGAGATGCAAGAGCTGCCATTTTATTCAGAGAAAACAATGGTTTGGTGTGGTTTGTACGCTGGTGGAATCATGGGTACAATTTCTTCAAAAATGATGCCGGTAAGAACGTAACCGTCACGTTTACGGAATCTTCGGACTCCTCTAAGAACTTCGTACCCATGAATAATATTTCTTAAACACCCCCCTTTTTCCACTTTACTGTGACATAGTATAGCTCTGTGTTCGCATTTCTCTTCTCCATATAGTCAATGTCCAATGTTTTGCCTGTTCCTTGACCTCTGGGATGTAATACTGCATCCAAGTTTCTTCAGTAATACAAATGAACGTCGTCGTCAATACAGAAATTCCGTCGTTAAGTAGTTTCACGGCACTCATGGTAACGACAACTTTTTCATGACTAACATTTCATGGAATATATAACTCACTTATTATTTTGAGCGTAAGCATAAATTTTTGTTTAATACACTTGATCCAGCGGTGCCAACCTTTTTAAATCTACCTATGCTTTGTAGAGGTCTCCAAATTGTGTCTCAGTTGCTGTAATTTTCGGTATATGGGGTAGTAGTTCCTTATACATTGGATAAATCTCTCATGGAGAAGGCAAATATGTGAGTCGGTTATCATGTTTAAGAGCATTACTTTCTTCGCCGAATAGGACCATTTTATATTTCGATATTAAATCGGCCTATTAATTTGGGGTAGTGTAGTTCTTGAACGTTTTGCTATTTTAATGGTAGTCAATATAGATTACATTTTTTCGAATCCCACAAAACGCTGGTGATGGCGGTATCCATTGATAGGACAGTCGTAATTAAAATGTTTCAACAGTTTCTTGGCCTCTGATGTGCAATAAAAAATCTAAGTTTCGTGAACCTTTTACAAACTGATTCGRAAATCACTACAGGCTGCTTTTAAACAGAGTTAAATACTGCTGTGAAGTGGTCCCACAGTTGCGCTTATTGGACAGAGTGAAGAAAGTGATGAAAGCACCAACAACATTCTTGGAGTATGTAACCCACGAAATTTTTTGGGTTGTCTRCAGTCTCATGTATTTCACGAAGATGCCATCGGCGGCCAGAAATACTAGATCGTAGATTTTTGTCACRTTTTCCTGTGTCGCTGCTCCTTGCGGGGCACCTGGTTTAGGTTCACTGTGCGAATTTTTTTCTAAAAACAAGAACCGATTCACCGATCGTATTGTTTTTTTTTTTTTTAAATCAGCGAATATTTCGGAGTACTGTGCCCAAAAAATAAGGTAACATTGTATTTATTTTGAAAATTCTTTATTTATTCTTCCAAATCAATTTCATCCCCTTCAAAGTAATCCCTTCACGATGCAATGTACTTATGCCAACGGATGTTCCAATCTTCGAAACACTGGTTGTAGTCACTTTCAGGGATGACCTTCAGTTCCGTCTCCGCTGCGGCTTGAATCTCCTCTATCGTATAAAAACGGTGTCCCCGGAGCGGTCTTTTAAGCTTGTGTACAGCCAGAAGTCGCACTGCGCCAGATCATGTGAATACGGTGGTTGCGGAACAATATGGGTTGAGTTTTTGGCGAAATGATCACGAATTACGAGGGCAGTATGGGATGATGCATTATCGTGGTGTAAAAACCAATAATTATCTTTCCACAATTCCGGCCTTTTTAGGCGGATACCGTTACGCAAACGACGCACAACGTTCAAATAATATTCYTTGTTGACTGTTTGATCGATTGGAAGGAATTCATGATGCACAACACCACGATAATCGAAACGGTCAACATGACCTTGATTTTTGGGCGACTTTGGCTTGATTTTTTTGGGTCTCGGCTCTCTTTTGACACGATATTCGCTCGATTGATCGGTTGTTTCGGKGTCGTAAGCATAGATCCAAGTGTCATCGGCCTTTATAATGCGTTTCATGACACCCTGTTAGTCGGAAAGCATCGTTTCACACACTTCAACGCGACACCTTTTTTCCAAAAAATTCAATGTTTTCGGTACCAGTCGAGATTTGAAGCGCTTGAGGCCCAAAACATCCTCCAAAATGGTATTGGCAGAGCCCTTCGATATGCCGACTTCATCAGAAAGGTATCTAATTATTAATCGACGGTTTTTTAACAMMAAATCTTTGATTTGTTGAACGTGWGCTTCGTTGSTTGAGGTTGWTKGTTGCCCTGGACGCTCACTATACCGCTTGTAAAMATTTTTTTTAGACATARCCTCATCACCAAAGGCTTTCTGCATCATCCTCAACGTATCCGCAGCAGAAAATTGATTCCGTAAACWAAATTTAATGCAAATTCTTTGCTCAACAAATTTCGACATMGCAAAAAACGAAAAACTCACTTTTAGCAGCTCACAAAACGACAGGTATCTCAAACAGTAATGAATATTTTGACATGAAATTTGACATAAATGTGACTGACAGTACTACCAACCTAAAAAAAAATAATTCTTAAAATCCTTCGACGCGCGCAGTTTTGCTTCAAATGTCATCTAATTTTTTGGCTACAAGTATAATCCACGTGGTGTTTTGAGCTGCAACTGGCGGTGAGTTAATAAGAAATTGTTTACCTCCTAGGTGGCCCTTTACACTGCATTTGTATGGGGTTCATCGAGCGATTTTGCTACAAAATTGGCCTCAGTTTCGGTGATCACACCTTCGTTTGAGGAGAATTTCTTTCTAGCGAACATTATTATCAACTAAGGTTTTTAAAAACAAACTTGTATCGAATAAAAACAACGCCAAAATTTATATAAAATACACATATGATTGACTCACCAGCAGCACACTCTCCCAGGCCATCCAACGTATTGGCATCGGTTGCGTTTGACGTCCGGAAGTACCCTCCAGCTGACAGTAGTCGGCCGCGTAAGCGATGCGATTTATCACAGTGCCAATGGAGCAGACTTTTATCGTCAATTCCGGGCCAATAATGCAACTTCTGTAAATAAACAAAGCAAAGCACAACAAATTGTAAATGAATATGCATGGCACTCGAAACCGCACTCGAAAAATTGAAAATTCAATTAAAAATTGACGATGAACGCCACAAACAACGTGAAACAACAAACATTTATAATACAATTGAAAATAAAAGAATTATCAAAATCGAAAAATTAAGTAAACAATTAAACAACAAACGTCAAACAGCTGAGCGAAAGTGGTGGTTTACCGTTTGCTGCACTGACATTTTCCTGCCTCAAGGCAATCAGCGTTTTTAACCCTTATTTGGTATGTCAGTCAGCTCGCCGCCCTCCCATACACACATACACACACACAAGCTCTCCGTACAACATGTTCAGGGAGTTTGGCAGTTATGCCGGCAGTGATGTTGGTATTAGCACATCAAAGCATCGACTGTTCGTTGCAGCAGCCGGCTTTACGGSTGACAGACGCAGCGACGGACTGCGTTGACAGACGTCGAGTTGAAGTGATGAAATAAGAAAACAAGTCTGAGCAATCAACGCAAACATTTCAACAAACAGGCGCTTTATTACCATTGAACTCGTTGCATTTGCTTGTTTGTCTCAGTCTCGTCAAACACGCACACAGCCAAGTGGTCAGCGGGGTCGTTCGTTTGCACTGGGGAATGCTTGTATATATACAATATATTCCCCATACAACACACAGAAGTTTGCTTCCTGCATACGTACTACTTATCTGCTTATTAACCCTCGGGCAATGTAGTRGCAAACCGAGAAGTGGAAGCATTAAATCCTCCATGCAATCAACAACTCGCAAATCAAACCAGTGAAGAGTAAATAAATGAAAGTGGTGGGGGTGATGGCGCGTGTTGTGGACCATTGGGTTGAGGTTGACATGTGCTGCCCAACTGTTGAGTGGGTGGGCAACGCCTCGATTTTTGCTGTGGGAGGAGTGGTCTTTTAAGTTCGGTTTGCCTTGGAGTTGTCGGTAATTGTAAATGACTTTTAAAGTGTTTATAAAAAACTAAATAATTGATATGTGGTATTTGAAAGAAATTTAAATTTCCAAAAAGGTATGAAGAATAGATAAAACAACAATGRGGTTGTATAAATTAATAGTCATTTTTCATTTTCTGTAATTGTTTTGGGGTTAAGTTTARACAACTTAAATAAACCATCTCCAAAAAACGTTGAAAATTGAAATTGTAATGTTAAGTATAGATATCAGGAATTTGTGACTAACARTGTTAGCATATTCATCCCTCGATTGCAGATGTGCCATTATAATAAATGACACCTAGGTGAGAGCTCAAGCGATTTAAGTATTTTTTTAATCTTGTTATATGGAATGCTTTCAAAAAAAGTCAAGAAGTTACCAGCTGTTTCATATCGTTYGATAACAATTTTAAAAACATAAAAACTTAGTAAAAATTATCTTTTTTAAGAGAGTTGCCACCCGTTAAAATTCGTTAGATCATTTAATTAACGTAAAACCATTTACTTAAAAAATATTCTGGTAAAAATATTTTTTGAGAAGTTTGCCGCCTGTTAAAAATATTAGGTTGTCAATTATCTTCCTTCCGCCTTTTTGCTCTTTATTCAATGCTTAATAAAAAGTGTTGCAATGATCAGATTTAGTTGAAATATGCGCCATTTCGTTCGTTAATCTGTTTTCATCTAGAAGGCAACTTCAGAATACCCCCGCTCGTAGAAACCAGCTTCTTATTTGCGAAGAACTGGGACAGCCACTTTTCACAAGCCTRTTTTGAGTTCAACTTTACACCAACAAGGGCGTTCGCCATGAACAGGAACAGGTGGTAATCCTTGGCGCTATGTGCGGGCTATACGATGGATGCGATAAAACCTCCCATCCGAGCTCCCGTAGCTTCCGACGAGTCATCAACGAAGTGTGTGGTCTGGCGTTGTCCTGGTGGAACACTACGTCCTTCCTGTTGGYCAATTCTGGAGGCTTCTGGTCGATCGCCTGCTTCAAGCGGTCCAGTTGTTCGCAGTAGATGCGAGAATTGAGCATCTGGTCATATGGGACCAGCTCATAGTGGATGATTCTCTTCCAATAGCACCAAACACACAGCAAAACCTTGATGGCTGTCAATCCCGGCTTGTCCACTATTTGGGACTATTCACCGGCCTTCGATCACGACCGTTTTCGCTTGATATTGTCGTATGTGATCCATTTTCTGTCGCCAGTTATAATCCGATTCAAAAATGGGTCGAGTTCGTTCCGCTTCAGCAGCATATCGCAAGCGTTGATTTGGGACAGAAGTTTTTTTTGCGTCAAATCATGCGGCACCCGAACATCAATCTTTTTTGTGGATCCAGCCTTCTGTCTTCTGGTTTAAAATGGTTTGGTGACTAACTTCCATCTTCTGGGCGATGTCRCGAGATGCCACATGCCAGTCTAWCACGATGTTTTCCATGATTTGATCGGTATTCGTAGTCACAGGTCTTCCGCCGGCTGGCTTAACTGCTCCGAATCATCGAAACCATTCCTCCGCAGTTCGATGTGATAGAGTACCACGCCCCAAAACAACATTAATCTCATGGAACGTTTCTCTAGAGGATTTGCCTTTTACGAASGAAAACTTAAAAATAGCGTGAATTTCGGCGTTAGTGAACTACATATATTACACTTCTATAACTGTTGAACGCAATATCCAAACTAATTACGCATAGCGTCGTTTTGTAGTTTATAACAAGACCTTTCAAAGATGTATAGTAATATATATATATACGAGCTCTGTAGCGGTTCATACATAACCGCGAAATTCAAAAGACAAAAAAGTGGAAGGGAGATATTTGACAACCTAATATATAAATTAATTAATAAAAATAATAACACAATTTTTACGTTATAAAGAAAAATTAAATAATTTAATAAACAAAACGCTGTCGATTCCAAAATATTGTAGAAAAATTAACATCAGAGGATGGTTGCCGCCTGTTTAAAAAATATATGTTAAACAAATAACTTTTAGAATCACAAACTTRAAAAATGCAAGCTTTTGAAAATTTATATTAAGTAGGGTTGCCATATATATTAATTAACCCTGTTAAATTTTTATATTATTTTGTATTTCGGGAYTTGGCAACCCTAGTTGTGCAATTTGAAAACTCAAACGATTGATGCTGTCCACAAATTAATATTGGAGGGAAATGTTAAAAACATTAGATAACGTTGTTTAAAAACACATCTATGAAACCCTGAGAGATGTCAAAACGTGTATTTACGCGTATGCGCWTGAAAGTAAAGATGAGTCGACTGCATGGGTGATTCAAGATGAGCCGAATCCAACACAAGTTTCTACGCGTACGAAGCACTTCCAAACAAAAGGTTGTCTCTTTTTTGGAACAACTGGACAGGTCGCAAACATATCACAATGTTATAAGATCAACGCAGAACACTAAATTCTGAGTGCTACACAATCACTTGTTTGCCAGTTGTATGTCAAGAAATCATGAAAACCAACTGCCGAAGATGGATCACTCTTCACCACGAGAATGCAAGCTCTCATACATCGACTGAGAGGACTCAAAACATCAATTTCATTAGTCCACCGTAAACTCCTGATTTGGAATCGAATGCCTTCTTTTGATTTCCGTTTGTAAAATATAAACTATTAGGCCAATGTTTCTCGTTACCCGAACAAATTACTAACACTCTTCTTATTGATTTTAGTGTTTACGGCAAAATCAGCTATATTTCTAAGCACTAATGGGCTTTGGTTTCTACCGTAATATCCYAATATACCTATACTACTTGGTTTCAGATTTCATACTGAAGTTCTAGCATTTGTGGTATTTTATTTCAATTTCTAAAAATGCCGATCTATAGACAGTTATACTTACGTCTTGTAAATGACTGGAAAACGGAAATGAACTGATCGAGGGTCAGGTTGAAAGTTCGTTAATTTCGTTTAAAAAACTTTCAGAAATTTTTTTGTTTTTTAGCTGACGTTATTTGTAAAGTGGCCATAGTGAAGGAAATATAGCAGCTGCAGTTGTAAGCGTACACGAAGAGCGAGGGAGTCGATTCGGTGCCGTTTTCAGCAACTCGGACTGTCGTATGAAACGACTTGGCGCATTTTACATCGATATCTTAAATTAACTGAAGCAGCACGACCTTCCCAAGTGACATCGTTTCGCTCTATAAGCTCTTGAAGAGTTCTAAGGATATCCGATGTGGAATCATCCATGATAACTGACCAGGCTTGATGCCTGAAATCGGCGACATTTGGTTTCAACAAGATTGAGCCACTTCTCACACAGCGCATCAATTTCAGGTTTTGGATCGGTCGATTGGTTATAAAGATGGTGTGATGTCACACCTTAAGACTTTTTCCTGTAGGAATATGTAAAGTCTTAAGTCTTTGCGAACAATCTCGCTTCGATTCAGGCTCGCCAGTTACCAGTCGAAATGATCGAACGAGTCGTCGAAAATTGGACTCAATGGTTGGGCCATCTGATACGTAGTAGCGGTCGACATTTGAATGATATAATCTTCAAAAAATGAATGCCAAAGAATGTTCTTTCGAATGATAATAAACATTCCCCATTAAATTTAAAGRTTCTGTGTTTTTTTCTTTAAAAAAGTAGGGACTCGAAATGGATCACTCGTAGACAATGTACTTCTATAAGTGATARCTATTAATACAGAAACTTTTCCTACAAGAAAGACAATATACTTACCTTTATCAGACGTAATGACTACAAATGGGTCTCTCTGGCAGAATTTTTTGGAATAACAGAAAGCGCAAAGTGAAACCAGCAAATCCATTAATGTTCTTGAAGAAAGCCGAGCGCCTATTAAAGGCTATATCAGCGGCAAAGTGAAGTCGCATTGCATAAAATTATGTATGAAGACAATAATGAGACTTTTAGTGGAAAACTCGGCGAACATCGTCCGGTCATAAAGGATTCAGTTTCTTCAACGGTAGCTTGAAACAATGGACTCTAGGAGAACACCTCAGGTCTGGGAACAATTAATTTTATTCTGGGT